TAGTTTTGCTTTCACAACGAAAAACACAGTGGCCTAGCGTGAGGGGAAGCCCCAGCTTAGCGTGCGCTGAGGCCGGGATGGAGTGAGCTGAGGCGGCGGGGTCGAGAACGGCACGCCCAGCGGATCCGACGAATGAGCAGCAACCACATGTGACGGACCCTGGGCTGGATTCCGCTTCATCCATGGTGCAAGTTGATGTATTCCCTCAGCGACCAGCACGGATCAGCTCTAGGCATGACGAAGCGGATATCGTTCTCTTTTGGAAGACCAAACAAAGTAGTTTCGCTTTCACAACGAAGCACACAGCATCTTCACGACATGGCTCCAGCGTCAACAAAACTACAGTGAGACTAAAAGTTACGCCTTCTTTCTTTGCGTGAGAACGAGCCGTTTTAGGTAGGTGTGGCTGACTTAACTTTTATAAAGAATAACTCTTTGGATTTGAGACTTTAGTCTTTGCAACTTTACAGATCTTCTTTATGCACCAAGAGCTTGTAACACTCCAAAGAGAAAGGAAAAATTGAAATCGCATCTTATGACCCCTTTAAAGAGACCTGAATGATGTCATATATGAGCAGAGTCTAAATTATTATGGGCGGAGAATGGTTAGTGTGAAGGGGTTGAGTTTAGACTGAGGGACATAACTTTAAAATCTGTTTTTTATAAAATATCTTGCAGTTTTTTTAGAAAAATATTCTTCACAAGAAAGGAACACAAATAAATGCTTACATTATGCCAAAAATCACAGACACTGCGCACATTTTGTTAATCAATTTCTAAGTACAAACTCAGTGAAGTGCCTCGGGGACATGATAAAATTCTTGGTTTAAGATTTTTCTTTTATTTATAAGGACAACACGCATTTATTAACATTTCTGTAAATGTGTCGGTTTTAGCCAGCCGGCTAATTTTCAACTGCAGTCTTTTGGCAAGATGTTTCACCCTTTAAAATATCAAGAAGAATAAACAAAAAAACAACAAGACATCAGTACACTAACAACAATCAACATTCTCATACAATCAACTATGCAAGCACATGAAGGGACAACACACAACCTTCAGTAGGTATATGCAGGCATGCTGGAAAAACATTATGGTTATAAGACATTATTTTATGCTAAAAATATTAAAATGCAATAATTTTTATTCATTATAATGGGCATACCAAAGCATTGTGAAAAGCTTCAAACAATTAATTTTGGTGAATGACCACTTTAGAAACTCTGGGGGACTGAAATATTACAGAATCGCAGGAATTACCCATCATTTTATATATATATAATAGTATTATTATTATTTATTGTTATAATTCAACATCATCTACTTTTGGATCCCAGTTAACTTTGTGTCTGTTTTTGCTCACATTACAGCAATATACTTATTTAATTTAAATGTTTTTCAGCTCATCTGCCTGTTCCCGTCATCACCAGTAACTCTTCAAACTGTTCTTCATCATCATCATCAGGATCATCAGTGTCTAAATGTTCACTGCTGTGTTCAGTGTTGAATGTGAGTGATGTGACTCTCTCCTGGTACAAAGGAAACCGTTTATTATCCAGCATCAGTGTGTCTGATCTCAGCATCAGTCTCTCTCTACCTCTGGAGGTGGAATATCAGGATCCACATCAATCCAGTTTTGTTATCAGCCTGAGAAATGTGAATTAGAAATTGCAATAGTCTAATTTGCATAACTGATTTCATGTTCAGTTGACTTCATGTAAAAACAAAGTACAAGACGTAGATAAATGTTTTCTTTGAGTTGAAGCTTATTTGTATAGTATGAATGTAATTTGGACGTACTATATTCACCATGTTTTTACTGTCATGTGACCTACCTTTCACAAAAACCTTTGAACTTGATACCCTTTTTTTGGGGGAGTAATTTTGTATAATGTTCTGCACTTAGAAAAAAAAGGGTGCAAAATCTGTCACTGGGGCACTATAGACGGTTTCATTGGGCACACGTACCTGGCCCGAAGTTAACTTCCGGTCTGTGTTTGTTTATCAGTCTGGCTATGGTGCCGGCTACAGATGCAGTTAAAGTTAAGGTGATGATCAGACTGAAGTTGGGCTCAGGTGGTTGTGCTGTGGGACGTGTTTCCCATACATTTATTTATTTGTGGCGCTCGGCACAATATCAAAACTGACCGATTTTCCAAAAGGCTTCGTTGAATAAACACGAGCACGTACTGCACGTTTAAAAATCTAAATGAGGTGCAGGTGTTTTTATCTGGCAGAGAATGAATTTGCATTTTCAGCAAGTCCATCTGATTTACGCAGCAAACATGTTTTGCTTATCAAAAATAATATCTACTCTAGAGTGACTACTTAGCTGCTGTTATTGATTCTATTTGGAAGTCTACCGGAAGTTAAGTTAGGGCCACAAAAGCGCGCATGTGCAGTAACGTTTGTTTATGTTATTGCCGTTGAAACCGTCTATACATTTGCAAAAAGTACTAATATGTACCATTTAGGTAGTATTATGTACACTTTAGTTAATAATATGTACGTTAAAGGTACTAATATGCACCCTTTAAGGATAAATGAGGTACAAAGGTGTACCTTTTGAAAAAGTACTGCCCCATTGACAGCTTTTGAACCTTTTTTTCTGAGTATGGAAAACACCCAACACCTCACACACAAACACGCATGCACATTCTGTTTATAACCAGATGGCAGGTGGGTGCTTTATCCTAATCACCTTGAAAACTGCAGCTGCCATAATCTTTGTTTAACTGTCCTCAATGGGAGTTTTATTTTACAACAAAGGATGTGAAAGTGAAAAAGGCTGTGCAACTACTGAATGTCAAATGCCTGTAAAAACAGGTGTCCTTCACCTTGTACACTGCTTCTACACTATAAAATGTACTATTTATGTATTTTTACCTATTTTGTCTTTCTAGGTTAAGCATTGGTCTAGCAAGTGTGCAAAGTAATTAAAATTAAGTTATTTAAAATGAACATTTGTCCTCAAGTTCTTATCCTTGATGTAACCAATTTAAAAACCTAGCTAGAAATACAAAAATGAAAAGTACTTCCAAGGTCAAAGTTCAGTGGAGGAAGAGGCTGTTCAAAGATGGCAATGGTCATTTTCCCACCAAATTAAAAGAAAGTTGTTAAATTTACATACATATATATTTAAATTGGTTCATTTATGTGTCATCTGTTAAACTGTAATGTTAAATCAATAAAAAATAATTGCTTAAATACTTTTATTTTAAAGACATAATTTATTGATTTTAGTGTTTTAAGAGAAGCTAAAGTCAACTTTTTTGAGAATTAACTAATTGTGTAATTGCAATATTATTATTATTATTGCAAAGGTTTTCCGTGATATGACAAGTTTCATAGGATGTGGTTTGTAAGTGAGAGATGGAAGAAACAGTCACACAACACAGACATAATGTTTCCATTGTCTTAAATGGACAGTTCAACCAAAAAATATAATTAAGCCTATGTCATCGTTTACTTACCCTCATGCTGTTATAAACCAATATGTCATTCTTTCTTCTTTGGAAATTGCAAAAGAAAAAGGTAAATGTAAATGAAAATCACTGCCATTAATGAGTTTAAATATGTTGGTGCATTTTGCATGGAACATATTTAATGTGGGTTTGTGTGTGTGTGTGTGTGTGTGTATGTTGTTTTGTTTTGGTTTGTTTGCAGAGAGCAGTTACTAAGAGCATGTTCTGTGGTCTTCTCTCCGGATATTGGCCAAAGGCTATTGATTGTACAGAGTATGTAGGTGCACAGAGTGTGTGGGTGGATGGTTTGGGTTTGAAAAGCAGCTTGTTGCTTAACTTTACCATTGAAGTAAACAGCCTTCGTGCGTACTAACGTTGAGAGTGTTGATACTGTTTGCGATCTGGAGCCAAATCCGATCTGCAGATTAGAATCTTCCTCCTTTATCCAAAATGAACTGAAACAGCTTCATTTGTTCTGTCCTGTTTTTTTCTTAATTAACCTGAAAAGGCAAGTTAGAGTTTTTGAAGTATCAACACAAGTAGCTTTGTAAGTGAAGTAGTTTGTAGATTTAATAGAATTTAGAGAATATTAGAACTTTTGTCCATGCTCCAGCCCAGTAGGTGGCAAGAATGCACCTATTGTTTGTTTGTCAACCGCCATAAAAGAATAATAAAAA